CTTCTTGGGACTTTCAGTGCCTCCTGAACTTTTGTGACTTTTTCCTTCACCAGGTTATGGGAGGTTTCTGCATTATTTCTTCAAACAGGTTCTCTATCCCTTGCTGGCTTTCTTCACCTTCTGGTTCTCCTGTGATGTGAATATTGTTACATTTTCTATTGTCCCACAGCTCCCTGAAACTGTCCTATTGTTTTTAAATTGTTTTTTCTATTTGGTTCTCTAATTGAGTGATTTTTTTTTTCTACCCTGTCTTTTAATTTGCTGATCTGATCCTCAGCTTCCCCTAATCTGCTGTTTATTCCTCCCCCCCCCTTTTTTTTTTATTATTATTTCTACTATGTCATTCTTAATTTTCTTCATAGTTTCCGTATATTTTCTCATGCTGTTGAGCATCCTTACAATCAGTATTCTGAACTTTACATCAGATAGATTACTTATCTCCTTTTCATTTATCTCTGTTTCTGGAGAACTCACCTGTTCCTTCATTTGGGGCTTGTTTTTTGTCTCCTCATTTTGGCTGCCTTTTTGGGTTTGTTTCCATGTATTAGGTAGATCTATGACTCCCAGACTTTTGGATGGCCACTGGTGCCGGCCAATGTCAGATGCTCTATGTGACTGGCCTTGAGTACCCTGTTTGGAGCTATAGGCAATCCTCAGCTTGTGATTTCCTCTGTCTGGGCTGGGTGTGTTTGGAAAGGACCAAGATGTGCATCAAGGTTTGCTTTTCTAAGCCCTGAATTCAGAAACAAATCAAGCAAAGACCCAAATCACGTGGAGGCTGAGTGTTTTTCAGTCCCTTTATGAGCCTCAGGCTATAGAAACTCCACAGGGTGAGGTGAGAGTTTTTCAATGCATAGGGAAATTGCTTCTGCTCCCCCCTCCCCCCCTCAGGCAAAAGCTGTTTGGAGAGTAAATATCTGCCTGAGAAAGTTGTCCTCTGCTGAATGGGGAAATGACTCAGCACAGGAATATAGATAGCTGCCCTCTGAGCTCTCCTCTAATTCATCATCCCTGGATTCTCCTCACATGGCTGTAGTCCACTCTGCCCTACCTCTGCTGGAGCCCAAAGTGAGTGACTACACATGAAACTTTATGCATTGGCCCTTTAAGAGGGTACCTGCATTTATAGTCATCTCTCCCTGGCAGACAGAAACCTTGCTGTGTTATGTGGCACCTTTCTCAGTTCTGGTGCTCTAGGCTGGAGAGCCCAGCTTGGGGTTTAGGCTGCAGAGTTCTCCATGGGAACCCCCATAACTGAGATATCCCTCTGGACCTTCAGCTGCTGCCTGTGGAGGCCAGCCAACCCTCTCACTCCTCTGCACTTCCTACCAGTCTCTATGTGGTCTCCACTTTTCATCCTTGGTTATGAGGGTTCTCTCCAGGTAGTCTTCAGTTGATTATTCAGGATGTTTTCTCTACATTTTCATTGTAATTCCAGTTTGGTCCCAGGAGAGTGTCAGTGTAGCTTCCACTCAATCCACTGCCATCATGGAAGCTCCCTAATGATATATTTTTAAAATTCAGCACTTACCACATGAATTGTTTAGAGTGTACACAAACAGATTTTTTTCAAGGAGGAATATTTTACCACCAGCATTGTTTAGAATTGTTGGTGCATTGTGGTAATAAAAGCAGCTCAACTTTTAGTTGGCTTAAATTTCTCTCCAGACAGCAAGCCCCCTAGTGAATTGCACTTTAGGTTACCGCTTCCACCAACTCCATGTTTGGCAGCAACTGAGAACAAGTTGCTTACAAAGGAAAAATCTCTGATTGCTGTGGGACTTATCAGGCTATTAATAAGAGGAAAAGACCCCAAACCCTGCATTCTTTATTTTATTATTATTATTATTACTTTTAATTCTCACCCTAGGATATTTTTTTTCATTGCTTTTTCAGAGAGAGTGGACAGGAGAGGGGGGAAAAGAGACAGGGGGAGAAACATTGATGAGAGGGAAATACATTGATTGGTTGCCTCCTGCATGTGCCCCTACCAAGGCCAGGGATGGAGCCTGCAACCAGGGTATGAACCCTTGACCAGAATTGAACCCTGGGACCCTTCTGTCCACAGGTCAATGCTCTAACCATTGAGCAAAACTGACTAGGGCAATCCCTGCATTCTTATCAAACCCAAGATTATAATTACCTGATGGTGCAAAGAAAGATGTTCAAGGATATACTTAGCAATATATCACCTATCTAACCCTCCTATGGAGACTGTTTGAGGAAAGATGAAAAAAGACCAAAAATGAAAAGGAACACATCAACATGGAGGGAATAAAAGGGAAGCAGTTGTTACCAGTGAACGTTAGCATGTATGAACACCACACCTCCCCTTACACACACACACACAGACACACACACACACTGCAGAATTCTGGGTTATAATAGCTAACAAAGGACTCTAAATAGAAGAAAATTCTGATAGATTCTTAATTATCTCAATAAACCTAGGAGTTACAGAGTATGTGTGGCAAAATGCTTCAAAAATTTCAGAGAGGAGAGATGAAAGATGAGATTAATAGGGTAACTGAAAGTATTCTAAGGTTCTTATTTGAGTTTGCAGAAAGGGGATGAATGGAGTGTTAATTAGGGAAACAGTGTGTCAGAATGCAAGAAATAATTGGAACATGTATGCTAATGGAATCAGGTAAAGGACAGCAAACATTGGTGCAGTGGATGAGTATAATAGAATTTCTACATTAACAAGGGGAAAAACATGGAATTAATAGCAATTTTCTCACACCAGCAAAACAAGGGAAAGAAAAAAGAAAGTATAATTTAAAATAAGTAGTATATATAAAATAAGATGGAAGGAATATAGTGTAGTATCTGGCTATTTCGCTAATTATGAAAAAGTTAATTATCCCATTAAGTACAGAGACTATTATGTTAAAGTAAAAAAAACTAAATTAAAAATTGTTATAGTAATCATTGATGTAGAAAAAAATCATTAATGGATACTAAAGCCATTGTGTGAAAAAATATATACAGTTTTGAATAGTATCCTCACAGATATCTATTTCTAAATTTCTATTTAAATTTAACATATTAGATATCTATTTAATTTAGATATCTATTTTAGATATCTATTTAAATTTAGATATCTATTTAAATTTCTTTTGGTGAAAAAGTTTAGTTATGCTTTATTTTGTTTAACTCTAGCATTGAAGTTCTCTATAAATAGATGTTTCTATATGTGTTTGATAAAGAAAAAGATTGTTATTTTACAACAGTAACTGATATGGCAAAGGGCAGTGTAATTGCAAGTTTTAAAATAGATTTTTGATTCATATTTTAAATATAGTTGTTAATTATGATTTATGTTGAATAAAAATTATGACTAAAGTAATGTTTTTTAACACTCAAAATCACTATTATGAAAGACAAAAAAGAAAGGCTGAGGTACTATTAGAGATTAAGGGAGGTTAGGGAGATAAGACAACTACATGCAGTGTGTGATGCTGGATTAGGAAAAAATTACTATAGGTAAAATAGCATTATAAAATTGATGAAATTTTAATATGGACTATGAATGAGGTAATAGTTTTATACTAAAGTAAACTTTCCTAAAGTATTTAGGAGGTTCAGTATATCTACAGCCTACTCATAAGTGGTTCAGCCAACACACACAACACACACATTGGGGGATGAGAGGCAGAGAGAGAATGAGAGAGAGCATATGTGGCAAAATGTTAACAATTGGTGAATTTAGAGTTCATTATCCTAGCCTTGCAACTATCATTTTTAAATAAAGTTTTTAATAACTCATATTATTTAGAAGAAACACACAAATAAAAACAAAAATAAAGGGATGAAAAAAAATTTGACAGGAAAAATAAAGTATTGGAATTGAGCATTAAAAGAGTTAAACTTGATAAAGAAGAACATGATGTAAAAGGCAACATTTATAAAGAAGATACAGTAGTCAAAAATGCCCCAAACAACATAACAGTTAAAAATATAAAAAATAAATATATTAGAAAAAGAACTAAATGAAAATGCCTGTGGTAAAATATCTCAATACACAGCAGACAAAAATAAACAAAGGATACATAGGAATGGAAAATGCATATTCAATAATTATATGTAATAAATAATGTATAATATATGAAATATAAATATACCTAATCTTAAATCCCATAAATGAAATTTCCTTTGTTTACAAAGAAAACCTTAACAATTTTCTTCTTTTTAAAAAGTTGAATTTATTGGGGTGACATTGGTTCACAAAATCATACAAGTTTCAAGTGTACAACTCAATAAAACATCATCTGCACACTGCATCATTTGTCCATTGTCCAAAGCAGAGTCTCCTTTATCCCCACTTTGCCCACCTTCACCTACCCCTACCCCCCCTTTTCCTCACTTGTCTGTGTCTGTTTATACACACACACACACACACACACACACACACACACACACACAATATGGATATAGATATATAGATATATAGGTATATATATTGCTTAATCCCTTCACTGTCTTTCATCCAGCCCCCAACTCCACTCCCCTCTGACAGCTGTCAATTTTTTTTAAGATTAAGATTTCACCACACACATTTGCTGATTATAATCCAATAAAATTGGAAATAAACAATACAAAGAGGACCAAAATGTCTTATTTATTTGGAAATATGAAATATGCTTCTAAATAACTTTTGATTCAAAGACAAAATTAAAAGAAAAAAATAGAAACTATCTAAAAATCTTTACACAAAGGAAAGAAAAAAATTTTAAACATTTTATTTTGGTCTTTTTTATTCTCTCATGAAGTCAAACATCCATGTTTTCATTTAATTGATCTTTGGATTGTTTCAATAAACAAATATGTTTTGATGTGTTAGAGAGTTGTTTACAACTTATCTTTATGTGAAATTAAGTTTTTATTTGTCTTACTAAACCCCAAATTATTTGTGAACATATTATCAGTTTTAATTTTCTGTCATGGCTATTAAACTTCATTCAGTTTATAATCTTAAATTATATTTTGGATTTCAACAGTTTACAAGAATATCTGGAAAGACAAAATATATCTCAGTTTTGTGATGTTGAAGAGAATATAGATAATGTTAATAAGTTTATTGATATATTCTTCCCTGATTTCAAAAGTATGACATTCAAAAAATTAGAAAGGATACTGGCATTACTCAGACCAGACCTCTTTCAAGAAAAGAAAGGTAAGAAATAAGGCGTAAATTGTTTATTTAAAAAAATGGATTTGGCCTGGCCTGGCTTGGCTCAGTGGTTGAGCATCAACCTAGGATCCAGGCAACCAGGGTTTGATTCCAGGTCCAGGCACATGCCTGGGTTGTGGGCTGGATCCCCAGCAGGGGGTGTGCAGGAGGCACCGGATCAATGACTCTAATCATTAGTGTTTCTATCTCTCTCTCCCTCTCCTTTCTTCTCTCTGAAATCAATAAAGATATATTTAAAAAAATAAAATTAATTTTAAAAATGGATTTGAATAAATCCTAGTGTAATTACATTAAAATATATTATTTTAGGATTTAACTTTGAAGAAAAAGCACCTAAAGTAAGAAACTTAGTTAATGTTAATTTACTAATTTTTCAATAATAATAAAATATTTTGTAGTCAAAGAGTTTACAAAGTAATTTTTAGCTTATGAATTTGTTAGAGGTGATTTTAACATGGTAGGAATTATTACATAACAAAGATTGGAAGCTTCCATTTCTGAAATGCCTTAATTCAAAGTTTGAGTCAAACCCTCATTAATAGTGTGATTTGAAAAAGATGCTTTATCAAGTCTCTTTCTTCTAATACAGAATAATATTGAATGCAAACTCTAATTGAAAAGTAGGAGGCTAAATTTAAAAAAAAGAACAAATCAGATGAAAATGAGAAAATATAAATACAGTGCCTACACTCAAAAAGTGATAGTTATTTTTAACCTAATCCCATATTCACATAGCAGAGTGAATATGGCAGAGTAAGAACATAAACATAAATTCACACTATTAATTCTTTTTCATACCTGGTGTATGAAAATACTATGCTTGTATATTGACCTTGCATTCTCTGACTTGCTGAACTTAGTTTTAGAAGCTGTGATGTAGTCTCCTTGGGAATTTCTATGTAGACCAGGATTTCTCCACCTCAGACCTACTTACACTTGGGGCTAGATTATTTTTGGTTGAGGGAGGCTGTATCGTGTGCATTGTAAAATGTTTACAACACCCTTGGCCTCTATTCATTAATTGCCAGTAGTATCCCCAAGCCCCTGTCAAGCCTTGTTGTGACAACAAAAAAATCTCTCCAGACATTATCAAGTGCAGTTTTGGTGAGCAAAATTTCTGGCCAAGAACTACTGATGTAGACAATAATGTCATTGCAAATCAAGACAATTATACCTCTTCCTTTTCAATCTGTATACCTTTATTTCTTTTGCTTGCCTCATTGGACTGACTGGCTATAACTTCCTGTACGATGTCGACTGGGAGAGGTGAGAGTAGACAGGTTTGCCTTGTTCCTGACCTTATAGTGAAAGCATTTGGTTTTTTACCATTAAGTTTAATGTTAGTGCTATATATCCTTTATCAAATTAATGAAATTCCCACTTATTCCTAATTTGGGGATTTAAAAAAAAATATGAGTGGATGTATTTTCTCAAAAATTTTTTTCTGTATCTATTAATATGATTATTTTTTTCCTTGAGTTTGATAATATGGCAATTACTGTGATTTTTGAATGTTGAAGCAGCTTTTCATTCTCCAGATAAACCACACTTGGCTGTTGTATATTGTCTTTTTTACATATTTCTGGATTTGATTTTTAAGTTTTTAAAAAAAAAATCTTTGCATGATGTCATTTTTTATTGTTTTTTATGGGTTTCAGAGAGGAAAAGAGAGGGAGAGAGAGACAGAAACATCAGTGATGAGAGAGAAACTTCATTGATTGGCTGCCTCCTGCACACCACCCACTGGGGATCCAGCCCACAACTGGGGCATGTGCCCTGACCGGGAATCAAACTGTGATCTCCTGGTTCATGGGTCAGTGCTCAACCACTGAGCCATGCTGGCCAGGCTGATTTTTAAATACAGTGGTACCTTGATTTTCCAACATCTCCATTGATGAACATTGGTTTACAAATACCGTAAACCCAGTTGTACATGCTTGTTTTGGAACACACTTCGGAAGTCAAACAGCTTCAGCTGAGTGCAAGATCCTGAGGCCTAGCTGCCGGCTATTGATCCCTCAGTTTTCAAACATTTCAGAACCCGAACGGTCTTCCGGAATGAATTACATTAGAAAACCAAGGTACCACTGTATTTTGTTGAGGACTTTCATGCTTATATTCATGAGGATTATTTGTTGTTTTGTTCTAATGTCTTTATCTGGTGGTGTCAGCATAATTCAGGCCTCATAAAATGAGATAAATTGTCACTTCTCTTTATTTTCTGGAGGAGACAGCATATAATTGGTATTACATCTTTCTTAAATATGTACCAGAATTTACTGGCGGAACTATCTGGGCCTAGAGTTTTCTTCTTTGGAATGTTTTGTTTGTCCTTTAAAATCTTTCTTAATATTTACAGACTAGTTAAGTCAATAGATTTTATAAATTAGAACAGTTGTAGATTTATAGAAAAATTAAGATAGTACAGAATTCCCTTATGTCTGCTTAACAGTTTCTCCTATTAACATATTATTGTGATATATTTTTATAATTAATAAACCAATATTGATACATTGTTATTGACTAAAGTCCATAGTTTACATTAAAGTTCTTTATTTTGTGTACTCTATGGGTTTTGACAAATGCATGATATCATGTATCCTCTCTACAGTATCATACAGAATGGAATCACCTATTTATTCCTCCCTTCCTCCCTCCTAACCCCAGGCAACCACTGATCTTTTTGCTGTCTCTATAGTTTTGCCTTTTCCAGAAAGCCAAATAGTTGGAATCATACAGTATGTAGCCTTTTCAGACTATTTTCTTTTACTTAATGTGCATTTCAGATTCCTCTGTCTTTCTGTGACCCTGATAGCTCATTTATTTTTATTGCTGAATAATATTCCATTTTATGGAGGTACCAATGTTACCAAGTTACCTACCGAAGGACATCTTTGTTGCTTTCTGTTTTTGGCAATTATGAATAAAGCTGCTATAGGCATTAATATATGATTTTTGCATATGTAGACATAAATTTTCACCTCAGTTGGGCAAATACCTAGAAGCATGAATACTGGATCACATGGTTAAATTATGTTTAACTTTGTAAGAAACTGTCAAATGCCTTTCAAAGTGGCTGTGCCATTTTCAGTTCTAAACAGTAATTAATGAGAGTTCCTGTTGCTCTACAGGTGGTGGTTTAGAATTTTTTCTATTCTAATAAGTATGTAATGGTATCTCATTGTTGTCTTAATTTATAATTCTCTAATAACATATGACACTGGGCATCTTTTCATATGTTAACTTCTATTTCTATATCTTCTATGGTGAGATGTCTCCAGATTTTTTTGCCCATTTCATAATTGAGTTGTTTACTTATTGTTGAATTATGAGTTCTTTGCATATTGTGAATACAAGTTTTTTATATATATGTGATTTGCAAATATTTTTCTAGGTTTTGGGCTCTGTAGTTTTTAACAGTGTCTTTCACTGAAAAGTTTCTATTTTTAATATAGTCCAACTTATCAGGCTTTTAAAAATTGTTCTTTTAGTGTTTAAATTAAAAAATCATTGCCAAACCCAAGGTTACCAGAATTTTCTTCTTTGTTTTCTTCCAGAAAGTTTATAGTTTGGCATCTTTACATTTAGGAGTATAATCCATTTGAGTTAATTTTTGTGAAAAGTATAAGGTCTATGTCTAGATTTTTTTTGTATGTGTATTCCCAATTGTTCCAGCATCATTTGTAGAAAAGGCTATCATTGCTCCACTGTATTACCTTCACTTATTTGCCACAGATTTGACATATTCTATTCATGTGGATATATTTTTAGGTTCTCTGTTCCATTCTGTTGATCTATGTGTCTATTCTTTTCCCTCACTGTCTTGATTATGGTAGTATTTTTTAAATATGTTTTTCTATTTATTTTTTTAGAAAGAGAGGAAGGAAGAGGGAGAGAGAGAGAAACATTAATTCTTGAGAGAAACACCAAATCTGCTGCTTCCTGCACACCCCCTGCTGGGGATTAAGCCTGCAACCCAGGCATGTACCCTGACCAGGAATTGAACTGGTGACGTTTTTGTTCATAGAATGACCATCAACCAACTGAGACACTCTGGAAGTGCTGATTATGTTCATTTTATAGTCATTCCTGAAGTGGGTGATATCAGTCCTCAAAAATTGTTTTTCTCTTTCAATACTGAGTTGGCTATTCTGGGGTTCTGCCTTTCCACATAAATTTTAGAATCAGTTTGTCAATATCCATATCCACAAATTAACTTGCTAGGCTTTTGATTGGGATTGTGTAGAACATAGAGAACAAGTAGGGAAGAATTGACATCTTAACATTATTGAGTCTTCCTATTCATGAACAAGGAATATGTCCCCATTTCCTAAGATCTTTGATGCTTTTCACCACAGTTTTGTAGTATTTCTCATTTAGGTTTTCTACATATTTTGTTAGATTTTTTCTTCTGTATTTCATTTTTTGTGTACTAATGTAAATGGTATTGTTTTAAATTTCAAACTTCAATGTTCATTGTTAGTATATAGGAAAGTCATTAACTTTTGTATATTAATTGTAACCTGCAACTTTGTTATAACAGTCTCTTATTACTTCTAGGAATTTTGTTGTTGTTTCTTTGGGATTTTCTACATAGAAAATCATGTCATCTATAAACAAAGACAGTTTTATTTTCTCCTTCCCAATCTCTATACCCTTTATTTCCTTTTCTTGTATTATTTCACTAGCTAGGCCAAATAGGAGTGGTTAGAGGGGACCCGGCCTTAGAGAGAAAGCATATAGTATAGAAAATATTTGCTAATGAGATACTTCAGTGTGTGTGTGTGTGTGTGTATCTGTATGATTCTTATGTCATGAAAAATTGGAAGTAGCATTATAATTTGATATGTTGAGAATATTGTTCACCTTAAATTAAAATCTAATGAGCTATTTTTGCAATTAAAAAAATTTCATTACAGAATAAAATGCATTATATGCCATCATGATAATATATTTTATATTGTGTCTATAACCAATAACCTAGCAATTTAAAACTTATTATGTGACTTTTTATTTAGAGGATGTTTTGAATATTATTCAAGATGAAGGATTTAAAATACTAATGCAAAGACAAATAGTATTATCAGAAGAAGAGGCACAAACACTGTGCAAAGAATATGAAACTGAAGATTATTTTCAAAATCTTATAGAAAAGATGACAAGGTAAAGTAGATTTCAGATGTAGAAAGCATAGTCTGATTTAGTTCTGAAATATTTAAATCCTTTTTTAATCTTTCTTTCTTCTCAAGTTGCCAAACCTCTCAATTCTGTAAACAAGCTCTGAGTTTGCTTTTTTGCCAATCTCCTTCCCATCAATTCTCTGTTCAACTGTCTGTCTTCTTTAGTCCTCATGGTATGTTATTGGAGTGATAGAAATATCCCAGGTGAAGTTGCTGGAGTTCAGTTGAGCTGAATGTCAGAAATCCAGGGTGTGCAACATCATCAATTCCAAGCAGAGAACTGATTGACTCTCAAGGGCTTTGGTAATCCTAAAGACCACTAGTTCTAGGATAGGTATGAAATGCTACAAATCTGTCAGGTTTCTAGAAGAGTAAGTGAAATAGCAGCTGAGGTAGAAATCCAGCAAGGGTATATAAATCAGAAGGAGTATGGGAACAATATAGGAACCACTATATTAGAACCAAGGCCCTTCCTTTCATGTCTCTGCTTTCATCCATCCTTTTATAAATGTGCTTTTAAGAATAAAGTTTTCTTCTTCACCACACTCCAAAAAAAAAAAAAAAAGAATACACCAATAAACATTAATTTTAGACTTGATAAAAAGATTGTCTTTACTTTTTGTAGTCTATTTAACAAATACACCTGTATTACCTATGTGTAATTAGCTACTGAGTCATATTTTTATTAACAACATTATTTTTCCTTTTCTAACAGTGGTCCATCTCTAGCTCTTGTTTTATTAAGAGAAAATTGTTTACAATACTGGAAAGGGTTAATTGGACCAGGCACTGTTGAAGAAGCCAAAGAATGTCTTCCTGAGAGGTTGGATTCATATCATGAGCCCCAAACTACTTTCAAGGGAACCATTATAATTTCCTTTTGGACATAGGGTACAGGAACCACAGCTCTAGTTCAAGGGAGGTTCTCAGGATAGCTGTTTTTCCTGGGTCAGGAGTGGACTGCTATTAACTGGAGGCCCAGCCCTGTGTCATCCTGAATACTACCAAGGTTTTGCAAGAGAAGGCTGTGGGGTGTTTGGTTTGGAGCTTGGAATTAAGTGGTGGATACCCAGGCAAAAGCCAACTATTGGCAGAAATTCCTATCTTAGGAGAAATTCTTTTGAGAAGGGTGTGATGGCAGCTGTAGGTTCTTTAGTTGATCATAACATTTCAAGACAATAATGACTTAATATGTAGTCTGTAATTTGTCAGGAACCATTACTAAGTGTACTGATGAATCTTAGATATCAACTAAACTTTGTAAGCAATTTAACACATGATATATTACTTGGCACACAGGATGCACTCTGTAAATATTTTTTTATCTTAATTATTAGGTTTGCTATACCTGGGTGATGGGGATAGTATCTCATGCATCTCCATTCTTGGGATGGACATGAGCTGATTTGCAATTCACTTGAATTCTTTGTGCCAGTTGCAGGGTAGGATTCAATTCAGGGAAAGAAAGGCTCTCCCTTCAAGTGAGCAAGAATAGAGATACTCTGTTGGGCACAGCAAACTAGACACATGTTTACATAATAAATAACAGTACCTATGAAACACCACTTATATAAAAGTTGAAATATTTTCTTTTGGGCAGGATATCTTCACTCTGACTCATCCTGAATGGGCACATTTTACCCCTTATTTAGCCCTAATCACTTATGTCTTTGCTCCTGTACCAGAAAATAGATGTCAAGGATAATGTGGGTTGAACACTGTAAACAGTGTGAGCAGAGTCTTGTTGATCCTCTTAATGAAATGTAACGTAGAACTCAATGCATAACATTAGAGAGAGGAACTACTTTAGAAACAAAGCCTATGCCTGTAGGCACACTCTTTTAGCAATTGTGGTTCCAAGTGTGGAGGTAGTACAACAGGATGGAGACATTTTTTCCAGGTGAAAGCACTGACTGACTGACTCTTCCACCCCATTATTATTGTGAAGATTCCCATCCAGAGCCCTTGTGACCCCTATGTTGCCTCAAGCTCACAACTAATCCTGACCATTATATTTGATTGGTTCCCCTTTTCCAGTTTTCTTGGCTCTGCTCAGATCTTTCAGGTTGTTTTGGAAATAACTTTCAACAGAGCTCTGACCCTTTCCTGTACTCAGGTATCAGATTTGGCACTCTTCATTGCTCAGTCTGAAATATGGTCACTTGTATAAAAGATAAATATAGTAACCCCTCTTTGCTATTCTTACACACACACATACTTTTTTCAATAATCATGCCTAACAGCATAACAGAGGGGCTTGTTGTAGCTCTCTGCCCTGAATGAAATAAATGCTGGTGATAGTTTAAGCTGTTTTTATCAGCCATTGTGCAAATTCCCCATCCCTGTCAATCACAGGCTCTTAGAGACTTAGGCTGCAAGTATCTACAAATCAGAGGTGTGAGAATAGTCAAGGCCTGAGTGGGAAGGTCAAGTTGGATAAGGCAAAAATGGGTCACTGAAACCAGAGAGGCAAGAAGAGAGTCTTAAAGCTGAGGATAGAAAGCCAAGTTTCCAGTGATGTCACTCTATTAACAGGAAGGGACGTTATTGACCATTGTTGGATTTCCGGGGTTGGCTGCTCAAGACTGTGTGTAAAAGGCAGAAAGTACAATGACCAGTGAGCATCTCCTCTCTTAAAATATATGTAGACAGACAGATAGATAGACGGATCAATAGAGACAGAAAAAGGGAAAACAACATCAAGGAACAACAATTGACTTAAGATATATATATATTTATCTATTGTACAGAAGCACAATAAATTTTTTAACCCAACGTGAATTTTCCAAGACCATCAACATCACTACTGCTTCTTTATACATGAAGCTGTCCTGTAGGCTCCTCTTTTGTTGCTGCTCTTGCTTACCAGGAAAGTTCCATTGCAGTTTCTCCTAGATTTAAAGTTCATAATTTGGTATCTTTGGTATAGAGTCAAATGCCATCTCTAGTGCTTGATATACTATCGAATGATGAAAGAAGGGAAAGGAATATTTACTGAGAACTTAATATGCACCATATATTTCAAACACATCGTCAGATTACATCCTCAAAATTAGCTTTCAAAATAGGCTTTATTATCATATTTGTATTTGAGACAACTAAAGCACAGAGAAGTTAAATAATATCTCATAGCTAGCAAGCAGTGCTATCAGGAGTCTATAGTTTGTGCTTTTGTCACTGCACTAGGGCAGCCATTTCTCCATTCACTGTTATCTGTCAATCTCCATTATCAGGGCTATTTAAATGCCCATGTCCTTTCTTTCTAAAGACTATTACATCCTTAGAATGAAGTAGCATGCCCTAGACAATTCTGTATTTAATTCCTTTTCCACAATGCTTAGATTAGGGATGAGTTGCTATTGCTTGATCATTTAAAAAAAATATGTTTGTTTGTTTTTATTGATTTCAGAGAGAGGAAGAGAGAGGGAAACAGAGACAGAAACATCAATGATAAGAAAATCATTGATCGGCTGTCTTCTGCACACCCTCTACTGGGGATCGAGCGTGCGATCTGGCCATGTGCCCTGACCAGGAATCGAACCGCGACTTCCTGGTTCATGGGTTGACGCTCAACCACTGAGTGCCAGCCAGGCATGCTTGATAATTTGAACAGTTTATAAATAGTGTTACATTGTGTTATGTTATGCTATGCTATAACAGTTTTTAACTTGATTTCTTTTCCAAAGTTTATGCATACAATTTGCAATGGGAAGTTTGCCTGTCAACCAGTTGTATGGAAGTGATTCGTTAGAAGCTGCTGAAAGGGAAATACAGTATTTCTTTCCTCCTCAAAACACTTTAGCACTGATTAAACCTCATGCAACACAAGAACAAAGAGGTAAATATTTAAAAATAAAAGCCAATGTATATATTTTCTCCAAATTTAGTGAAAATTTTCAAACTACAGAAAAGTTGAAAGAATAATGCAATGAACACCTTCATCCCCAGAATGTAACCAACAAAGTTTAGGCTATGGGTGAGATTTTGACAAGATTTACTTTATTTAATTCCCTCAGTGGTTCCCTTCTACTTAAGGAAGAAGAGTTCAGATTGGCTCTCACCTTCAACTCATATCTAGCAAAAAATGTCTTGGCATTTGTAGCATGGAGATGAAAACATCTCTTCACTTTTAGCACAGGAGCAGATCCCCTCCTCTCCCACTTTTATAGTCCATATGATGTCTCAGGAGGTTCCTGGAAAATGGATCTCAGACACTGAACCCCTACAATACATATTAAAGTTCTTCTGAATGCCAATCTGGTGCTTTTTAAGTTCATTTTAGTTTAGCATAGTTTTGGTTTTTAAAATCAGACCATGCAAGTAAAACTATTACTTTCCTTAGTTCAGTCTACTTGAACATTGAGCAAAAGTAGAGGCAACCTGCATGATTAGCAAATATCTGTTTTCTCTAGAGGAGATCTTCAACCTTATTAAAGAGGCTGGATTTGACATAACACACATGAAGGAAATACTGCTAAACAAAGAACAAGCTGACAAAATTTATTTTAAAATAACACATAAAGACTTTTATAAAGATCTACTGGAAGTGTTGTCTGAGTAAGTTTCTGATATATAGTTCTTTGCATTATAAAGTAGTACATGTTCATTGTAGAAAGAAAAAATGTAAAAATTAAATGAAACATTCCATCTAATCTCATTGATGAAAAGACACCTTATTAATGTTTTGGGTTCATTTTTTCTTTTTTCCTTCTTTTCCTTCCTGTCTTTCTCTCCTTCCTCCCTTCTTCTCCTTATTCTTTGTTTCCTTCCTTCCTTCCTTCCTTCCTTCCTTCCTTCCTTCCTTCCTTCCTTCCTTCCTTTCCTTCCTTTTTAAAAATGTAGGTCTTCACATTAGATATAGAGGTTGTCTGGGTTTAAATCCCTGTTTACCAATGTCCTTTATCTATGTTTTCTTATATGTAAAATGGGGATAAGAATAGTACCTACCTCATAGGTTTGTGGTGAGGGCTAAATAATTGATACATTGGAAGTACTTGGAACAGTGCTAGGAATATATTCCTAAAATTAAACTACAGCATTTTTCTAGCACCAAAACCATCCTTTTGGGAGAGGGTTAAATGAAACAAATAAACAAAAAAGAAAACATTAAATCACATTAATAAGTACGAAGAATAAAGAAAAGCTCTCTGAATGAAGCTGTGGCATTCTGTCTTTAACCATGTATGCAATCCTCACAGTTGTAAATGGCCCAAGTTTTCTGAAAGCACTGTTATTTGCAGGGGTCCATCTTTGGTCATGATTCTGAACAAGTGGAATGCTGTTTCAGACTGGAGAAGATTGATGGGTCCCACAGACCCAAATGAAGCAAAGCTATTGTCCCCAGACTGTATTAGAGCCAAATTTGGAATAAATGTTTTGAGAAATATTGTCCATGGATCATCTAATGCTTCTGAGGCAATGGAGACAATTAATAGAATATTTGAAGACTTTGTTCCTGGGAATCCTGAGGAAAACTAAAGTACAATACCTCTTTCATAACTGTTATTTCCTTTTCTTTGGCTGTTACAGTGACTGGGTCTAGGACAAGGTTGTTCTGATCAGAACATTCCCCATGTTCCTAAATTAAACTATTTCTTGCCAGAAGTATTACATTGTTCCATAGCAGCCCTGAAGCCTCAAAACCAAACCTTGTAGATGCCAGGGACCTGGGAGATAGTGAGGCAAGCAAGATACCCTTGTGTTTGCAAGCCTTGGTCTCAAGCTGTTTGTGCCATCTCTTATGAAGTCCCTCTCCTTGACTCCCCTCCATTTCTCCTATTTGAATTGCCAAGGTCTCATTCAGCAGCCTCAATTCTATTCACTAAGTGTATGGAAACTTGGAAACTAAAAACTATCTGTGTGTGATATATGATAATATAACAGAATACTAGAAATCATGAAGCAAAAGTCAGTCATTTCTATTCCTTGGCAAAGAGGTCCTTATTTGGGGAGAGATAGCTACATAATATATACGTGGATTGAATCTGCTTAGTTGTTGATGTAAAACTTGAGAACTTTTCTATCCTGAGTAACATGGGAAATGGAGTGTAAGATAGGTGACTTCCCATCAAACCTAATTTTCTTCTTTATTTTCAAAGGGCAGTCTCACAAATGTACACATGTATGGCTCTGGATGCTGACTTGAATATGATCATACAAAATGCTCACATGTGGAGTGTTGTCACCAGCTTGATGAGCCAAATTGAGAATCCATCCCCCGAGCATAATGAGAAAACCATGTGAAATCCCTTTACACCCATCTAGGTTCCCCAAGGAGAGAACAGTACATTGTTCCCTTAATATTGTCATTTAGGCTATGATTTCTCCAGGTATAAGAACATTGTAGCAAAACATTAAATGCAAAAATAAAATTAAATTCTGGCATAGTACTGTTCATCCTATAAGTCTTATTCAATTATTGATAAAGCATGATTGTACAACCTATAAACATTTACATTGGGAAAATATGTATTGAAGTGTGGGTTTTTGGTTAATAGAAAACTAGTTGAATGGAATTTGTTACCTTCGGGGAGATGCAATCTAATGGGGAAACAAAACTCACAAAAACAGTATCTAATCATAACTACTGTAAGACAGTATGTTATTAAGCTTAACAGTGATGAATAACTTGGGCTGGGGAGGTTAGTGCAACTACATTCTGTTTATAGCATTTAATAGCAACATGATGTAGATCTTTGCTAACATTTGTATATCCCTCCCTTTTTAATGAGGGGAGCATTATGAATAGTATCAAGGACTTCAAATTAGTGTATAACTCAGTGCTGAATTAACAGACATGTATTCAATGGGTAGGAGCTTGAGAAGGTAAGAAATGAAATAATCTTGAATAAAGGGTAGGATTTTCAAAATCAGAAGTAAGGAAACAAGAAAGTGAATTTAGTTTTAAAAGTTTCTAAATAGGTATATCTTGATGTTTATACATATATAAGGACATTTTGCTGGTTGCTTTTTACTGTGCCTACTATACTATATCATATCATTTTGAGGGATAGTATTGTGGATCTGTTTTAGACATTCAAGAATCATTTGTTCAGCTCATGCTTTATGCTGGACACTGTTGCAGGGCTGAATACACACAGTTCTTTTCCTAAAGAAGCTTAGGATATTAAAATCTGGAGATAAAGAATTAGGGGTCACCACAGAGTGCTTTGAGCAGATGCATGTAGCAGATTGAGAGGGGGCATGAGATGCAAACTACCCAGGCTGGAGGCACTACAATAATCAAAGTGGGAAGATGACAGCACTCTGTAGAAATGGTGAGTTAGCGATAAGGAGAATATCAGAGAATCCTTAAGAGGCTGCACTGCATCCACAGAATCTGATGATTCACTGCCACTCTACCAAATAAGTGGGAAAAGATAATGCTTCCTGGCTTGAGTAACTGAAGAAATGATCTAATCATCCCCAGACAGGGAACTCAGAAGAGAGAAGGAGGTCAGAAGGAAATACAATGAGTTCTGTTTCTCATGTTGGGAAGAAGACATCTGAGTTGAGAGTAAGTTAGGCCCTCAGTGTAGCAGAGTTAAGAAGGCTTCATTTGAATGTCATCAGCAAAATGGTAGAGCAGGTGGCTATAAGCTCCCATCCTTCCTAATGGACATTGAAAACATAAGCAGAAACTGTCAGAACAAACTGTGTCAGAGCTCTGGAAAACAATCAAAGGTTTACAGTAACCAAATGAATTCCGAATCAATAAAAGGACAACTTAAAAATGATATGAAAGCTTTGTGACATTTTTACTTGCCCTTGTCCTACCACTTCCCCAAATTGGTCACAGTCTTGAAGACTGCAGTCTGTGTTCTCAGCATAGGACTCTGGTGTCTGGTTCCAAAGAGAACAGAGCAGATATTACTAAATAGTTATTGTGTTTTTCTGCTCTAACCTGTCTGGAGGCTACCTGAAGGTTGACACAAAGCACATTGAAAACAAGGATGAAAACATATACTTGTACACCAATGTTTACAGCAGCATTATTCATAATAGTTAAAAGATAGAACACTCAAGTGTTCATCAACAGAAGAATGAACAAATACGGTGTATAAATACAATGGACTATTATTTAGCCATAAAAAGTAATAAAGTATAGCTACAAAATAAATGAATCTTGAAAACATGCTAAATGAAATAATCTAGACACAAAAAGACAAATATTGTATGATTCTCTTTATAAGAGGTACCTAGAATAGGCAAATTCATAGGGACAGAAAGTAGGCTAGAGGGTACTAGGGGCTGGAGGGAGGGAGAAATTGGGAGTTATTGCTTAATGGGTAAAGAGTTTCTGTTTAGGGCGATGAAGCATTTTGGAAATACATTGTGTTGATGGTTGCAAACAATGTGAATGTAATTAATACCACTGATTTATACACTTTAAATGGTTAAAATGATAAATTGTATATTTTTATGTGTTTTACTATATGTTATTATTATTACCATATATATTTTTCTACTAAAAATGGTTAAAAATCATATAAGGAAAAACAGTTCCTCAGGGAAACATAAAAATCCTTCACAACAGAGTTCTCCAAAACTCCTCCTAAAGTGACACAGAATTAAGCTAGTCTTATGAGACATAAAGAAAATATGATCCTGACATCAAAAATCCTTAAATAAAAGTAAGCTTTTGTTTCTTGAACAGATACCAAATAAAGAAAATTTTTCCAAAACAAAACAACAATAACAACAAATTCCTAAAACTCCTCATTGGGCATCTCTGTCCCCAGAGTCCCCTTGGACCCTGCAGCTCCTTCCCCACGCCATTGCCTACTCCCTTCCCACTCTCTATCTTTCAGTAATTATTTGCACAGTCAGTCCTATTGTCTTTCTCAGCTCCTTTCAGCAATTCTGAATCTTTGAAAGGATCTGATGAAAAGTTGTGGCTACAAGTAAATAGTTTTAACCCTATCAGAAGAGTTTGTTCATTAACTTATTGTGTTGTAAAGTTCTTGTTAATTGCTTGTTTGCTCAATCAGGCAGTACATATAGGTAAAGAAAAGAGACAGCCTCCCAAGTTCTATGATTATATTGCATGTGAGGAATTTGTATGAAAAAAGGAAACTCATAACTGCTTTAAAATTAGCATGTAGCTTTGTAATGTATCTTAAGTGTATTCTTTATTTTCCTAGAAAGTTTTTATTTTTATTGAATTTTTTAATAAGGTGATATGGGTTAATAAAATTATATAGATTTCAGGTATGCAATTCTATAATATATCATCTGTTCATTGTATTATGTGTTCAACTCAAGTCTCCTATCACCATTTGTACCCCCTTTACTCTCTCCTACCTTGTCCCACCCCCCCTTCCCTCTGATAATAACATACTGTTGTCTGTATCTATGAGTTGTTGTTTTTTGATTAATCCCTTCTCCTTTTTCATTCAACACCATGCCCAATGCTTCCTCTCTGTCAGCTGTCAGTCTGTTATCTGTATCTATGAGTCAGTTACTATTTTGTCAGTTTACTCTTTTCATTAGATTCCACATATAAGTGAAATCATATGGTACTAGTCTTTCTCTGACTGGCTTATTTCACTGAGCATAAATAATAATTTATGGGTCCATTCATACTGTCACGAAAGGTAAGATTTTTTATAGCCAAATAGTATCCACTGCTCAAATGTACCACTGCTTTTTTATCCACTCATCTACTGATGGGCACTTGAGCTGCTTATAAATCTAGGCTTTTGGAAATAACACTGCAATGAACATAGGGGTGAATATATTCTTTCTAATTAGCATTTTGGGTTTCTTAGAATATATTCCTAGAAGTGGAATCACTGGGGCATAAGGCAGATTCATTTTTAATTTTTCAAGGAAACATCATACTGCTTTCCACAGTGGTTGCACCAGTATGCATTCCCACCAACAGTGCACAAAGTTTCCCTCTTTGCCACATCCTCACCAACACTTGTTTGTTGATGTATTGATGATAGCCATTTTGACAGGTATGAGGTGTTATCTTGTATTCTGTTCCACTGATCTATATCTCTGTTATGCCAGTACCATGCTGTTTTGATTAATATGGCCTTATAGTATAGTTTGATATCAGGAAACGTGATTCCTCCAGCTTTGTCCTTATGGTTTTAGTTTGCATTTCTCTGATGATTAGGGACATTGAGGATCTTTTCATATGTCTATTGGCCGTATGTATGTCTTCTTTGGAGAGGTGTCTATTCAGGTCCTTTGCCCACTTTTTTTTTTTTTTAAATATATCTTTATTGATTTCAGAGAGAGGAAAGGTGAGGGAGAGAGAGATAGAAACATCAATGATGAGAGAGTCATTTATCAAGCCCACAACTGGGGCATGTGCCCTGGCCGGGAATTGAACCCCGATCACCTGGATCCTAGGTTGATGCTCAACCGCTGAGCCATGCCCAGCCAGGCTTTTGCCCACTTTTTAATTGGATTGTGTGTTGTTTTGGTGTTGAATTTTATAAGTTCTTTATAAATTTTGGATATTAACCCCTTAATAGGTGTATCATTGCTGAATATGTTCTTCCATTCAGTGGGTTGTCTTTTCATTTGTTGATGGTTTTTTGTTGTTGTACAAAAAGAAAATATTTGATATAGTCCCATTTGTTTATTTTTTCTTTTCCATTGCCTGAAGAGATATATCAGAAAAAATATTGCTATGAGAGGTGTCTGAGATTTTACTGCCTATGTATTCTTCTAAGAGTTTTATAGTTTAGAGTCTAACATTTAATTAAGTCTTTAATCCATTTTGTTTATTCTTTGTAGGGTAAATGAAGGTGGTCTATTTCTATTATTAATTTTGCACATATCTGTCCCCTTCACCAACAACATTTATTGAGTAGACTATCTTTACCCCATTGTATGTTCTTGCTTTCTTTGTCAAATATTAATTGGTCACAATGGTATGGGGGTTTATTTATAGGCTTTCTATTCTGTTCCACCTATCTATGTCTCTGTTATGCCAGTACCATGATGTTTTTATTACTATGGCCTTGCAGTATAGTGTGATTCCTCCAACTTTGCTCTTCCTTCTCAAGATTGCTATGGTTATTTGGGATCGTTTGTGGTTTTATATTTATTTTTGGAATATTTTTTCTAGTTCTGTGAAGTATGTCATTGGCATCTTGTTAGAAATTGTGCTGAATCGATATATTGTTTTTGGTAGGATGGACATTT